CTTCAGTCTGAAGGGCTCACTTCCTGGGTATTTTCGACAGACTCCTGTTAGCTCTGCCTTGAGTAAGAGAAAGTGGCTGTCAGAGTGGATTTTAGGGAGAGTGTTCGGACTGAATGGAGGACAGATAGTCTCAATAGTCTCCTTGTGGCCAGTGCAGTAACTGGCTGAAAGGCAACTTACCACTGCCCCCACCTGCAGGACAAGCTGAGGGAAAGTGTCCCGCAAAGGGGAACAAAGTAACAAACTGGAGACTCAGACCTTCTGAATACAGCCCCAATCCTCAGAGTGGAGCAGGGCCCGCTCTCTTACTTTCTTGAGAGGAAGGGATTGTGAGGGAAAGGAAGGCTGCCACTCTGTCATCTCTGTCGTTAGTGCTGCTTCTGTATGGCACGTGGCCATAGACTGCCCGGGTCAGTGGTGTCCTGGGCAAAGCCTGGTCAGCTTGGGTGCTCAGTTTCCACACCTCGGGATGGCTTTCTCACAGGGCCCTTCCTATGTAGTCCCTTTGGACGCCCATGTTTCCCTTAGAGTCGCAGAGGCTGGGGAGGCAGTTTGCCAAAACGTAAAAAAAATCAACATAATGAAATGGTCAAAAAATTCTAGGATAGCTATTCAATTCACAGATTTTATATTGGAAGCAAAACCCACCTGTCCCTTGCTTCAACCGTATGGTTTAGCCATGAGATAAACCCTCAGAAGTGGGAAACACAAGACTCTGGGAGAAAACAGAGTTGCTTCACGTTCCGAACCAGGACTATAAGAATGCCATGTTCTGGTCTAGTTGTTTGTCTTTGGGGTCCATTTTCAGCTGGAGGCAGAGTTCAAGCCAGACTGGATAGTGAGCAGAAGGGATCCCCAGAACCTGCATTTAATGTCTGAGTTTCCTTCGGGCTTCCAGGACCTCTGGGGCCCATGAACCACACAACCTTTGCAGGGAAAAGATATCTTTTTCTATGGACAGGGATGGAATCAACCCAGGTCACACGACCTCAAATCTACCCAGAAGCTGCAGTGGCCCCCTGTGTTCCAGAACTTAATGACAGAGTATGCTAGCTTTCGAGAAGTTTCTAGTGGCTGGAAGAGTTTCTGCCATACAGGGCAGAGTCTCAGAGGTTCCCACAGTGTCACCCGCCTGGAGACATTGTGCTGTCCCTTGCCGCCATGCTAGGTTTTCTGCAGGTCTCAAATCTTTCTGCAGACATTGCCATACAAAGAAGCAAGGCTCTGCTGAGACTCCTGGGAAATCCAGGTAAAGGGGGCTGCGATCTGAGATTTAGACCAATAAGACCAGCGCACAAGGAACATAAAAGAGTCTAAATTCTGTGGAAGCAGAACATTTGACTATGAACTGGGACAGTGATACAGGAGCCTTAGAATGTGGAGAAGGTAGGGTCATTTCATGGAACATGGGAGAGCAAAGCATACCAGACAGATGTTCTGAGGTTCAACGCAGAGGAAAATGAAGATAGAACTTTGGTTCACTTCACGTTTATGGTAGGCTCCCTGCAGGAGGCACTAAACCCAGTGAGAAGAATACTGGAACGGTTTGCCTCCCAGGGCTTCTGTTTGGCCATGAATCCATCTGAGCCCTCAGAATGCCCCACAAGTCTCAAGTGGGGTAAGTGTGGGTTGGCAGTTGCCTGGGGCCTATCCTGGCCAGGAATGGCAAGTTTGTGGTAGGACTCATTACCAACACGGGTGTGGTTTTCTGTGGTTTCCCTGTTGCTAAGGTATCCTGTGCCAGGGTATTTCGGTATGTCTGCAGAGCCTGCATCCCAGGCTCTGGTCACTGCGGGTTTCCTGGAGGTGGAAGATTTACAACAGCTGTCATGACTGAGGGCTCCCCATCCTGTGGCTTCTGTCCTTGGGAAAAAGCTCATGACACCCCAGGGATTTCTTTCCAGAAACTGTGGAAAGTAGGTCTTCCCTGCCTGGGATGTCTCCTAACAGTGTTTCCCTTTTCTTCTCCTCCTCTTTCCTTTACAAAGAAGGCAGTTTGCTTGTTGTTTATGCTGAAGCCCAGCTTGGTGGTGAAAGAGGCTGTGGCTTCAGATTTTCTTCAGACAAGTGTCAGGCTGTTTCCTTCTGTCTTTGTATACAGGACAAGAGGGTTCTAGTTGCAGGAAGTGTCAAAGAACTCTACTACTGTGTGTGTGTGTGTGTGTGTGTGTGTGTATTCCTGTATGTATATGTGTGTAGAGGTCAGAGGTCAACACTGGATAGCTTTCTCAATAGCTTGCTGTCTTATTTTTTTAAGACAAGGTCTATCATTGAAACTGAAGCCTTCTGATTTGGCTAGACTGGCTGGTCAGTGAGCCCCAAAGATCTTCCTGTCTCTACCTTCTCAGTGCTGGTTGTAAGTATACACAGGTGCTCCTGGTTTTTCTGCAGACGACGGGATTTGATGGAGCTTTCACATGCTACAGTAGGCATTTTACTTACCTACAAGTCTGTGCAGCGAGCACTCTTCCCAGCCCCAATGTCAAATACTTTAGAATATTTAGTAGTGATGTTTGGAGAGGAGAAAAGAAGTTCCTAAAGAGACCTACCCTGCTGGTGTGGGGAGCCAGGTTTTGCCCTCAGATGTTATTCTTTCTCCCTCCCCTTGCTACCATGGCCGCAGTTTGCAGAGCTAAGGCAAGTGCAGATGTGCATTAACAGTGGGCGTCAGGGGCAGCATGGAGCAGGGCGCTCGCTCCTCAGAGGGAACCTTGGATTCTCACAGTTGTCACACTGTGGTCTCTGGCATAACCCCATGCCTGTACTCCTAGCTCTTGGGGCTGACTTTGACCTACCCAAAGGAAGTAGGGAAAAGGTAGGGTATCATCAGCCTCGATGAACGGAACCTGGTTGTAGAAACACTGAATCAGAAGCTAGTTTTTGTCATTTTTAGTTTTTGTTCTGATGCTCTGAATCATGAGCCAGGGAAGGAAGGAACTTGTAAAGGGTCAGACCCACGGTTCCCCAAATTTCCCATCTCATGAACTAAAGAAATATCTCCCTCAAATAAAAATCTGGGGAGCAACATAGAGAAGACATTTTGCTTCTTATTATCATTAGAACAAAATCAGTGACAGAGCAAACAACTGGTATCTATATATATTAGTTTCCTACCCTGAAGGGAGGGGCATTTTCGCCAAAACACAGGAGGGTGTGAGTTCCAAGAAAGAATGTTTTCACCTTAAGTGTAACTGACTAGCTGGCAAGAAGAAAGCTTTGTTCTCTATTTCCTATTCCATGTGATCTGGTACTAACTATAACCTGCTAATTGGAGTGGAATTTTGTATTTAGCAACCTATGATTGGTGTGTCTACAAACAAAAAACATGTCTTCACTGTGGCTGGGGTCCTGATGCCTAATCAGGGCTATCTTTGTCATTGGCACTATTTCCAAGGGAGGTGGCTCCTGTCCCTCACCAGATAGAAACTTCCTGTCTTACTAAGAAATATCTAAGTAGAGGTGGCAGAGAACAATGGAAGCATAGACTGAAGGGATTATCTTTAATCGGTGATGATCATTCCTTGAAAAGCTCCATGGGAACATATGTAATAAATTAGCAGAGTGTCTAACTGTATATACTTCCTGTATCACAAATATATATATATATGTTATATATGTACACACACACACACACACACACACACACTGTCTGCTATTCTGGTCCCTGGGTCAAATCCAACCACTGCTCAATCTGTAAATGAGTTCTAGAGGGAAAGCAGTCAGGCCTGCACAATTGTTTGTCTCTCCTAATCACGGCAAACTGCAGGACTGATTTCAGTCAAGATGAGAAGATGTGCAGAGCCTGGAATATTTGCAGTCTGGATCTCTAGAGACAATGTCTATGGTCTTTCCACTTTACCTTGCTCAGGCATGGGAAATGATATCACATTCTAGGGACTAAGTGACTTTGGCCAATATTGAGATATTGTTCATCAAGCTAAGGTTATTTATTTGTTTGAAAATATTCAGAATGCTTGTCCATCCAGGGCTACTTGCCCACACTTTCTAAGTGTCCAGTAGGATGCCCTAAAGGAAAGAAACGATAAGTGCAGTGCTCTTGGTGTAAGACCTGCATCTGTTTCTCTACGTCCTCTGGTCTCAAGAATGCCCAGGATCTCTACCTGGTGTCTGGGAGGGACTTCATAACTATCCTGTCTGCTTCCCTTTCCTCTCTTAGTTCTGTGGGTAATTATCTGTGCTCGCTACCCAGGCCTTGAATATTGTGGGTGGAATTTAGGTGGGGACTGATGTTTTGAATGTAGAGAAACTGAGAGATGTAGACATTTTTGTGTAGCTCTTATGATATTGAGCAAGACACTTGCTCTCTCTCTAAGTCTGATTTGTCCTTCTCTGAGCTATGACATTAGATAGATGATCTTGAGTTTAATATTCAGTATTATCTGAACTCTGCATGTACGCCCTTAGGGACTAGTAGGGACAATATGCTAATCAGTAGCTTCTGTGGCTGGTAATGTAGAGGGAATGAGTCTGTTTTCACAGGTCTTCAACTTCGTTAGGCATTTTGGCTATCACCAGTTATTTGACCATGACAATCTATATGCTGCTTGTGATGCCAAGCAGTTGTGAGCTTGCTCTGATTGGCTCCTCTAGAACCACAGAGAGACAAGCACAGTCATTTCTGCTTAAGGGAAGTGTAATAGACTTCCTTGTGGGACATACAGTTATATTAATTTTTTTTCAATTTTTCAATAAGAAAATTTCAATGTGTTTCTAGCTCTAAATACAAGGTTGCCTTGTGTCCCTGCCAGAGTCCACAGCCTGGCTGCACCAATGGTGAGTTTTGTTAGGCAGGTGGGAGGTTGTGTGGCTAGGCACAGTGATTGGGAATTACCCAGATAAGTCAGTAGCATCAGCTCACCCAGCCCCCACCTCCATCCGCCCCACTCCTATTGCGGACAGTCATGGCATTTCTTGTAGATAAGCAGGCACTGCGTCTTGTGATGGCATGTGAATGATTCATCCTAAATCTGAGCTCTTACCTCCTTTCAGGGGAACCTTCTCAGTTGTTCTGGGAGTGGAGTCCTAGAAGGAAAGAGAGGAGCAGGGTCAACATCCATATCTCACAAACAAGAAACAGGACAAGATGGCTGTACCAGGGGTACACAGCAAGTTCACGGAACTCAGGCCCACAAGTGAAGCTTCCACCTCCCAGTCGAGAGCTTTCTTCCTCTCCTCACATGAGACTGGTTTTCCCCTTAAGTCAACATGAGATCAAATAAAGTCAATAAATATATGCACTTTTTTTCTTTCCATATTTGGTTCATCTCTAAGTGTTGTGAATATACATGGAAAATATCTTTCTACCTAGATGGTTTTTGGAAATTCTGTATTAACTAGTGTTTATATTCCAACGATTGTGATGATATGGTAATAAACTGGTTCTCTGACCTCATAGATTTATTGCAAGCTTATGTCCAGCTATAATGAACAACTATTTATAAATATGTAGCACAAACAGAAGTATATTCATTCACATTGTATTGCATATGATTCTATTATAATCATAAATGTCTACATAGACTTTATGTAAAATGGGTAAGAGGTTGATGGGAACATTGTCTGCTAGAGAGGAAACTATGCTGGGGGTCAGAGAGGCTAAAAGAGAAAGGTAGCTACAGTGTTCTGAGAAGGTGGCCCACAGAGATGGAGGGGCACTAGTTTCCAAAAGATTCCTCAGAGACTAGCTTTCCAACGTCCTTCACTTCCTACCTAATGTTAGTCTAGGAGGGCATGAAAGAGATCTTCCATAAAGGAATGGAATGTCACATTTGCCTTTGGACATGTAGGTCATAGTCACCTCTAGTGCACTTCTCTGAGACAACAATGCAGAACAGAAAGGACGAGTATTCACATGGGAAAAATAGCATCCCCATCTCTACCAAGCTGGAAGGTGGCCTCTGACTCCATGAGACTTGCCAAGCAAGGGCTGATGACCATCTGGGGGTACCATTTTAATTTATGTCCCCAGGAACCCCGTCATTTTCCTTCTGTGGACACTGTTATCTGAGAAGTAGGTCTTTTCTCTAGTCCAAAAGGCGGCACTCAGCCTGGGAGGCCTTGGGAATACAAGTCCGGGTGTCACACTGATCTGGAGACAGTTTATAAATTTGGGCCTCAGTTTTTCAGGGGAAGGGATGGGAAATTGACTTTGAAGATCCCTTCCCCCCTCTTGTTTTCTGATTGTGTTTTTCACCTGAGAGTTCTGAACGAGGATAATACTGTTTTACGTCTGTGATTGCATGATCACCCATATGCTTCTTAGGAAAACCTGACATCACAAAATTCCCCTTTATGTTGTCTCTGTCAGACGACAGGCAGCATTTCAAAACTTATCAAGCAGCTGACTCAGTACCAAGCATGACTTTCGATTGACATGAAGTTCAAACACACGAAGAAAGGAATCTCCATTTAGATGAAGCCTGATGGGACTGAATGCACCAAGTGCCCTGTATTCAACTAGGTACCTAGAGTGACTGGCAGGAGAAAAGATACCAGCAGAGCCACCCCAGGGGCAGAGACGCTAGCGAATCATTCGCTCAGCTTTGGGTGACCTGTGGTGTGCACTGTGTCATATAGACACACTGTGGACCTAGTTTATAAACACAGCCATTGAAGACCTACTGGAAAATATGGAATCATAACTGTGAGTTGTGGAAGAGCTATGAAAGGACCAGAGTGCTTAAAAACAGAATTTCTTGTTTTTTTTTTTTTAATTTATTTATTTATTAAAGATTTCTGCCTCCTCCCTGCCACCGCCTCCCATATCCCTCCCCCCCCCCCAATCAACTCCCCCTCCCTCATCAGCCTGAAGAGCAGTCAGGGTTCCCTGCCTTGTGGGAAGTCCAAGGACCTCCCACCTCCTTCCAGGTCTAGTAAGGTGAGCATCCAAACTGCCTAGGCTCCCACAAAGCCAATACGTGCAGTAGGATCAAAACCCAGTGTCATTGATCTTGAGTTCTCAGTAGTCCTCATTGTTAGCTATGTTCAGTGAGTCCAGTTTTATCCCATGGTTTTTCAGACCCAGTCCAGCTGGCCTTGTTGAGTTCCCGATAGAACATCCCCAATGTCTCAGTGTGTGGGTGCACCCCTCGCGGTCCTGAGTTCCTTGTTCATGCTCTCTCTCCTTCTGCTCCTGATTTGGACCTTGGGATTTCAGTCTGGTGTTCCAACTTGGGTCTCTGTCTCTGTCTGCTTTCATTGCCCGATGAAAGATAGTCTCCAGGAGAATGACTATATGTGGATTGATCTGTAAATTCTCATTCAGCAAGTTTGGTTAGAGCTTGGCTTGTCATGATTTCTCACAGGTTCCCAGGTGATGCTGATACTCCTGGTCTCCAGAACAGCATCAGCTTTGAACATCAAGGGTATAAGCAGTGTATCTGGGAGGAGGATCAATTGTATGTGATGGCGGTGCAGTCACGGAAGGGAAGGCCTTGCTTTTGCCTGTTAACTGAGAGTTCCTTCTTTCTCTTTAGGCAGGGAAATGCCAAAAACATTGGCAAAGGTTTCTGTAGCTTAATCCTTTATCCAGGGTCCAGGGAATTCAGGACAGAAGTATGACTGTTCCTATGTTGAAGAACACGAGGTCTTTACAGCTTCCTCTAGCTACCTATAGTCGATGTGATTCCAGAGTTAATGTGAGAGACAGGCCCAGACATCTTTCAGAACCTCAAGCTGATTTTGTAAGGAAGGATGCCAAGTTACTCTAGTCAAGGGCCAACGCTGGGCTGAACTTCTCCAGCGAGTTTCCTTCTGGCCGAGGACAGAACAGTTCATTGTTCTTTTCTCCCTATTTTGCAAGCAGTCCTTGTATTGGAGGATGGAGAAGCAAAGCCTGAGGGTATGATGACTGCTCACTTCATCAGACATGACAATTATTGTTAGATTTTGTCAGAGATTGTTTAGACCCCAGGCACTATGCTGAGTGCAGTCTGGAAACCGTTTTAATAAACCTTGCCCAGGAATTCAAGACCTTGACTTGGGGAAAGGAGAGCTATCCTGCTTAGTGACTTGGCTTTGGGTAAGGTAGGGCACAGACTTGACCTAGATGCAAACAAATGAATACCCCCTGGCTGTTGTCTCAGCCCCATAGAGTAGCTCTGGAAAAACAGTCACCATGGTTACCAGCCCCTTATACATTTCCTTAAAGATATTTCCTCTTTTCTTTTAGCCTCTGTGGGCATCTGATGGGCATTCCAACAGTCCTAGAGTTCTTTCTGTGTAAGGAAAGAATGGTTGTGCTTAGTTTGTCCCCAGGTGAAATGACCCCACCTTAATCATTAGCCTAGCACTGCTTTCTTCTCTCCTTTCATTACTGTGATTAGAGGGCCAGTGATTCCTGCTCTTGGCTGTTGGAGTCACACCAAGATGTAAATTATTAGCAATTGTTTGAAAACAGTGGCTGTTTGAGAGGGACTGCTTTAGCCTTAGAATGTATTTAATTTGTCATAATTCCCTGGAAGCTCACGGAACAAATGTGTACAAGTTCCTGGCTTCCCAAATTTGCTTCTCAAACCAAATCCTTTGTTACTGAAAGTTACCAAAGGCTACCAACGTGTGGATGTTCTAGAGTGAATTCCAGACCCTCTGCCTTTCAGCTTTGTTGTCGTCTAAGGTGGGTTTCTGGCTCACAGCACATGAACATCTCTATTATCATTACACTAAGATGATTAAAGATTTAACGTAGGTTGCTCTGGGAGCCAAATCCTCTCTGGGCCTTGTTGTATGGCCTTTAACCAGATTCCCAGAATTCCAAGTTGTCTAAGACATAGAGGAGTGACTTAAGGATCACAAAAGACCACAGATATGAGAAACTTTGTCATACTGGCTGTGAAGGCCAGTGACATGCAGCCTTGCCTCACTAGACTCAGGCATACAAAAAAGCAGCATGTTTTCCCAAAAGCCAAGGGGAAACTGAATGACAGCCATCGAAGACTGCCAAGGAAAGTGTTTGTCTTGGGAACTTGTGGTTTGTCAGGTCTGAAATTGCTACCACAGTGACTTAATCAGCATTTCTCCTACTTTCCAAGACTTACCATCCTGTGAGACATTCATGAAACTAGGGATTCTGATGCAGTGTGTAAGCTCTGAGGTGTTACTAGGTCTAGTTAGTCTCCTGGCTACGTCAGCATATCTGAGCCATGGCCCACCCTGTGAGCGTCTGAGGTAAGCTCTGAGGTACTTCATAGGTCTGTCTAGTCAGTCTCCTGGCTATGTTAGCATGTCTGAGCCGTGGCCCACTCCATAAGCGTTACTGACTTTAAGACACGGCACAATAGCCAAGTATGATACTTATGATCTTGAAAGGTGGCTCCGAGGAGTTGAACTTGGATCAAGATTAGGAAATCTTCCTGCTCTGAAGATAGAATTGGTACTTTGTGCCCTTGGCTTCATCTATCAATGTATTTTGTTATCTAGTTCCACTTCCTGCTTTGTCTTTGTCTACTCTGGAGTACGGCCATTGTTCATACTGCAGTAACTCATACAATCCAGTTTGTCTTTCTCTGAGGCATGCATGTCTCCACTCCTTGCCTGACTAGCTGGGTCCCACCTCCACCTGCTTTTATCCTGCTAAGGAGAGCTCACGTTATATAACATAGCGAGTGAGCGGAAGGAATGAAAGCATGTAGTAATCTTCTGTCATCAGTCCTCAGGATGGTAAAGGATTCAGGGAAGAATCATCAGAAAATGCCAGACTGCTGAGTGGAAGACATATCTTCAGAGCGCCACCTCATAGATTACACTCACAAGAAATGTAATTCCCAAGAAAGAGTGCTTCACAAATCAGATGTGGCTAGCTGTCCCTTAATGATAGGACTAAACATATAGCCATATATAACCAGACATATGCCCCTAGCTATGATCTAACAAGACCAAGCATGGATAAACCTCAGGCAGACCCAGAACGCATGTTGTTCTACTACATCTCTTGCAGAATAGTCAGTGCCACAAAACCAACACTTGAGGGTAGGTGTGATGTGGGTTAGCACACGGCTTGCCAAATTTTCTTGTTTTTAAAGATGTTCTGGGAAGATTCTTAAAATGAAGGTTTGACTCAGTAGCTCTGGTATGGGACTAGGGAATCTTAATCCCTTTCTGTGTGTGCATTATTGTGTGGGTGTGTATCTGTTAATATTCATGAGTCTGAGTGTGAGTATGTATATGCAGTGATGTACTTGAGGTGGTTAAAGGACAGCCTTGAGTATCAGTTCTTAGCTTTTGCCGTATTTGTTTCTTTGTTGGTCACTACTGCGTTTACTACCTGCTAACTGGTTGAGAAGCTACTTGATTCTGCTGTCTCTAGCCCCTATCTTGTTCTAGGAACATTGGGTTTACGATTGTGCACCTAAATGTTGGACATGCAAATTTAGGTCCTTGTGTTTGGTGGCAAGGGATTTAACCAATGGGCCATTTCTCAAACCAAGTCTGTATTTCTAAGAAGCTCTCAAGATAATTTATTTTTGATTTGCTTGTTTATTTTATTTTTCTTGTGGTTTTGGAGATTGAACTCAAGCCTTGTTGCCTATACTAGGCAAGGTTCTAGCACTGAATTATATCCCTAGGCCTTTAAACGTTTTTATTTTGATACAGAGTCTCATTAAATTGCCCAAGAAGATTTGAACTTTGTGACCTTCTTGCCTTAGCTTTGAATATAGCTAGGACCACAGGTATGTGATGCCCAACCCTGTAGGGCTACCCATTAAATCACAATGTTTCAGATTTAAACATAAGTAGTTATCACACATAAGGCAGTGTGTGAGCCTAGGCTGAATTCTAGACTCTCCAAATAACAATAAAACAAAACAGCCACAGAAGACATGGGGATGAAATATGGACTGTATTTGATTGTATGCCATTAGGCAAAATTGCCGAGTTAGCGGGAACGTTCTCCGCTCTAGGAACAGTGTCATGGTGAATAAAGAGGGAATCCGCACTGCCTACAGCTTGCTTTCTGACGCTGAGAGGGGCAGCATGGATGTGATGGGTACTTGATTAGTTTAGGTGGAAGCTTACATGGGCTTTATCATACCAGTTTTGAACATTTTCCAAAGACCATTTCTAAATTTCCTCAGGTTCAGCTTACATTATAGTTACTGCACAAAAGCCACCCTATCCTAAGCAGAGGTCACTACTCTTCTTTTTTTCCGGAACATTCCGCCTGAAGCTCAAGTTCATGGGCTTCATTTTCTCAAGCTGGAAGAGTCCATGTGCGTCTTCCCCTCAAAACCCTGTGTGGGGCTTGGTCCTTAGAAAATTCTCAGCATCGGGAAAAGCTCAATTAGTTAAACAAATTCTTAAATAGAATGAACCCAAATTCAGGGAGTCACTTAAAAAGTGTCCCAGGGCACTTCAACTCACTTCCACTATCTACTATCGAACAACAAACTGCTAACAGCCCCAGTTCTATCCCAACTTATCACCACACCCATGTCAGCGCTCGACTTCATTCTCGACCCAGACTCACTCATTCTCTCTCAAAAGAGAAAGGCAGGCTTACTTGCTTTCTCTTTCTAGAGATGGTGTACAATATGTGGAAAGCAGACAACCTGAGACCTTGGCTGTACCACTCTGGATGGTGTGTGTGTGTTTGCCTTGGCCTAGAGAAGCCCAGCCTCCTGGTTTAGGAAGCAAAGAAGTGAATAAGGATGAGGGTCCAGAGCTTTTATTCAAATGTAAACACCTGTCTGTAAAGTGACAGGGAATCCAGAGACATCATGGATTTCTCTTTCCTGGGGAGATAAGATATGCTCTACTTTAGTTTTTATTTTGCTCTACTCTGTGGGTTGACAGTTCATCTTGACTCTGGAGTCTTTCCAAGGTTATGGGAAAAGTATCCATACACTTGAGTTACTCAGTCTTTCTTTCTTTCTTTCTTTCTTTCTTTCTTTCTTTCTTTCTTTCTTTCTTTCTTTCGTGATGTAAAGAGATGTGTCTTTTACGATAGACTTCCCTTTTTCAAGATAGTACCACCTATGTGGAGGCTGATAGACAACATTTATTTAGGTAACAAAATATATATTCTATTGCCATTCCTAGGCCTTTATTTATAAGTAATGGTTTGGAAAAAATGCACAGAGGGCAAAAAGTCCTAGAGGGAAATGGAACAGCCCCCTCCAAGGCACAGCTAAATCACGAAGCATCGGCACAACAGAATGAGATGTGGTTCTACAGTGGCACAAGGCACGCTCTGCACATAGACATGGAGGGGTCTCTAAGATACACCCCAGGTGAATAGAATGACATGTGTGTGTTGGGTATTTGTAGATTCTCATATTTATGTAAGAGTGCACAGGAATTTGTCCATGGTAGCTATCTCTGCAAATACAGGTTGCTGTTAGGAGGACAAGGTGTGAGAAACATTTAATTTCTTTCCTCTTAACTGTTAGTTAGTTTTCCCAAGCAATGTGAATGTATTTCATAATAAATGTTTTGTTGAAGGTAAATAAGTACGGATATTGCAGGAGGCTTCGAAGACATCACGAGAAAACTGTATGAGCAGTGCAAGGACAGGAACTTGGCTAAAGCTGTACACTCGGTGTCTATAGTAGTGTCTTGTACAAAGCAGACACTCGATAAACACTAAGATTGATGCCTCGGTTTCCCTTTTCTCTCTCCTTTGGAGCTTTCACTTGGAGCTTCTTGGTCCTCTAGCCAAGTCTCACGCATGACATGGTTAACTGACCCTTCTCCATCTCCTTTCTCAGACTCTGCTTTTGTCCTGGGGGACGGCTCTCCCTCACTTCATTCATTCCTTGAAAAGTGTTCCTATTTCTCACTCTGATCAGACTCCGATTTCTTCTTCAGTCTGCTGGGTAAAGACTCCCTCACTGGTGCTCTCAGGTGGTCCTGTGTATGTCAGCAAAGCGATTCTGTTCCCACAGTTCCCCAACCAGTCCCATGGCACACAGAGAATGCTGTGTGGCCATCACCCACCCGTGTTTAATACTAGGATCTGAGTCTGAACTCTTTGGATCCTCTTTTTGGTTTCTTTGACAGATTTACCCCTGAGCTTCTTCGGATGCCAAGTCCACCTGTTTCCAAAGTCCCCATCCTTCCTCCTACTGGATGTCTCCCTGAGAGCGCAGGCCTGGGGACCTCACATTTCCTTAGGTCCCGTCACAGTTAATATACTAGAAATGATATACACAAAGCATTAGATTCTCTATGCCATAAGAGTTAAGATGGAAAGCCCTAGCCTGTGACGAAGTAGCTGCCATTTGGGAAATCACTGCACACCAGAACATAGAATCAGACTGTGAAGTACATCTTTCCATACCCAGGCACAGAGGTAAGTCAAATCGATGCCCTAGAGGATAAACTTCAGAGAGAGAAGTGGGAACCAAGACCTTCCACTCTTCTGCCACCGTCAGTGCAAGCAGAGGGAGCAGCCTTCCCATGGATCAATCAAAAGCAATTAAGCAGCCCCCCCCTGTGCCTCTTGCTCAAGGCAGCTGACTTCAAGCCCTGTCCCCTGCCTGGGCTTCATTTTCTGTGCTGCAGCCGCAGGGCAGAGAAAAGCCCGTCAAGCGTTCACAGGAATCATTTCCACAGCAGACTGGACCAGAGTTCCCTCTGGTTCTCACATCACCATCATCACCCCTCCCCGTCTGGGTTTCTCCCTCACACTCAGCAGTTCAGCTGAGGACCTTCTCAAGGCACCCACAGTCTGTCTTTTCTGACCACTGCTTTACAACAGCACATTTCTGTGGCCAAACCACACTGACAGTGGCAAGTGTGTCCAGAAGGTGCCCAAAGGTTTGTCTAGAGAGTCATTCTGAGCAGGTGATGAGCCCCACTAGCCCTGACAGCCAAATCAAATGTCAACAACACCATTCTTACACTCCCATGGAAGAGTAACCTCAACACTTCCTTTAAATGTCAGTACTTGATGACAACAAGGCCCGAGTTCTCTCTCAACAGCTAGAAAGTTGCTGAGCCTTTCGTCCAAGACAAAAAACAGAAGCCAGAAAAAAGTCTAGAAGATTATAATATGATGATGAGTGAGAATTACAAAATAGTACCAGACGCATTCACATTTGGCCAGGGAGTTGTCTACATGGGTGCCGTTCATACAGTCCCCAAATCCCCACGACTGGCTCTCACCCAAGCCTGTGAGTTGTGCATGTTGACGGTACAATATTTTCTAGAGGCTGAGTTTCTAATTTTCTACATTTTGGCTTTTGCCTTCAGTTCTTTTGTCTTACTCCCCTCCCCCATTTCAAACAAAGTAAATCTCCCAAGTCAGCGTGGTCCTGCATGTTGTGTGAGCATCTCCGAGGGTACGGGTGAAAAAACATCGCTATTTTCTGTCCCTCTGCTCTGTTTCTCTCAACACCCAAGGCTCTTCAAAGCTGGTGACTTGTGCGGAAGCTTTCGATTTCTTTTGTGGGTTTTAACACTAAAGTACCCAGAGCTCTGGAGGGAGCCTTGGCTTCTCTTCCTTTGTTTTTTCTATACCACAGTGTCTGAAACTTAGCTAAAACACAAAAAACTAAAAACAAACAACAAACAAAACCAACAGTAACAACAAACTCCCGGCAGTAGAGAGGCCTGGGAAGACCTGGGAGCATGGATTGGGGACATTACCCTAGAAACAGGCTGAGCACCTTACAGAGGTGACTTCTCTCTGCCTACTGCGAGGATCTGCCTCAGCTGGGCTTCCAGCGTCCTTTCTCAAGGCCAGTGGTTCCTCTCTGCTCTTTTGGCTCACATCTGGAAATTTTTGAGCTCAAGTCCAGTTACATTCCTCTAAAAAGTTACAACTTAGTGCGAGGCACTCATTCCTGTTTCTCTCTCCCCTTTCTCTGTTACGACGTCTGTATATATGCATAGTTTTTTATTTGCATTTTTAATTTTTTTGCTCCCAATTTCTCTATTCTCTCTCCCAGAGAAGCACAGATTATAAATAAGGAAAGAGAAGCAAAAACAAGTTTACTCACCTTCTTCTGGACTACCAGGACCAGTATGATCGTCATTGCCACAACGAGGCACACCAGCGCGACGGTGCTGAGGTAGAAGTAGCTGTGGCTTGTGGTTCTCCAGGACCTCGTGCTTCTCCAGGCGCTGGCCACCGAGTCGGGTGGCATCTGCATGGCTGGGGCAGGGGACAGGGCCCCACAGCTGCCTGCTTGCTGCAGCCCTGGCTCCATGCTTTATATAGTCTGCCCCACATCACACCTTATCTCTCCTCATCTGATTCGATTCTGCCCTCAGCTCTGTTCCAAGAAGGATTTTCCCCCTGCATCCTGGATCATGTGATTTGGAAAAAAGCCTTCACCAGTTGCCGGACAGAGGAACTCTTCTCTGGGGGCGTGAAGCGAAGGGTGGATGCAAGGGTGGGGGAGAGGTTCATTTTTCATTGCCCGGGATTAATTTGAGTGCAGAGAAATTGTAGCGAGAGATGATGGCTGATGTCAGAGGGCGGTAGGAAGAGGACAGTTCCGCATTTGTGCGCACCAACCACTTCTGTTTCCTCTAGGCTCAGCCACAGAACGCCTTCCCGTGGGTATCCTGCACACTGCATTCTACACGCTGGTGGCCCCGAAACGCTTCCAGATTAGTCTCTTTGCTGGATCCCTGGGAGACTACAATCCTGCAGTGACTGCTAGGGCTCCCTGACAGTCACGGCCTGCTGGAAACTGGAAACACACCCTTTCTTGGGAAAGAAGAGCCCACAGTGTAGACACTCATGTACCTGGTGACAAGCTTGTGGCTGTAGGACATTTGTGGATAGTTTCAAAAAACGATGAGAGAATAAGAATTTGGAAACAATTAGCTTTTGAACTAAAACTCCTAAAACTCTTGCAGTGTGATTTTGGGGTCTGTTAAATTTGCTGAAGAAGCTGGCTTGCCACAAGTTCATATAAGAGGAAGAAGTTAGTGAGGTGCCAGGACAGGGAGGTTGAGCAGTGTGCAATGTGTGTGCATATGTGTGAGGTGTTTGTTGGGTGTGCTGGGGTAAAAATAGTGCTCCAGGTATTTGTGATAAATTCGTGCATGGATGTTACTAGAATTCAGCATTCTGGTTCAGGTACAGTCTTGGGAATTTGATACAGTGGCTGACTTCACACTCCTCACCAGCCTCAGAGACAGGTAACATTTCTTCTTTACAGAATGGAAAACAGAGGCCCAACAAGCATGAAAACTTGTCCGTGAAACCTACCAGTGCTAATATAATGGAAGAACTTGGTGTCCAAACCAGCATTGTCTCGAAAGCCTGCAGGAATCTTCTGCTACTGGCTGAAAGCCTCATACCCCATCCCCCCCATCCTAAACTTTCCTCTGCTTAGCTTTGGTCCCGGGATAAGTCACAATAGCCCTTGCTTTAACCCCCTCTGCCTTACAGTCATTGAGAAGATCAAACAAGATGATGTAAGAGTGCTTCCTGAATGGGAATTGGCTTGGCAGCTGCTGTTGAACAATTCCTGTTAAACAGCCCAAGTTGCCCTCTGGGCCATGTCTGGAATTTAATACAATAAATAGAGTCCCTGGGACATAGAACTGGAGCCCATCTGTGGATATGAACCATTTTCACTTCAGAATACCTCTTAAAGTACTTATCACTGTTTCATAGCTGCCTCCAGATGTGGCCTTCAGGGACCTCATTTTCTGTTTCCCTGGGTATTGACAGCATCCTCCCTTTTGATTGTAGTCACCTCTGTGAGCCATGGGAAACACCAGAAGCCCCAAAGAAATGCCATGCCCAAAACCAGCCTTGGGTTGGAACTTTCTGGCTCTCTGGAAATCTCTCTTTGAGCATTCTTCAAGGCATCTTAGATTTGGAAGATGATCTAGAGACCCTTCTGGTGGGTTCATGAAATCAAAATACACAGCGGTGGGAGAGGCAATGAGAGATGAACTGGTGAACAGGTTTCTTGGCAGCCAGAGTCATTACAAATGGAGACATTTGACTGTCAAGGAGGCTGAACCACCGTGGTCCCAGCTGAGTTTAGGTTTGGAAGAAATATACGTCTACACTAGTTTGCCTGATGGTTTTTGTAGGATGAAGTAAGCTAGTATTTTTTTTGGGGGGGGGGTACACTTGGTTGCTTGGGGAGAAGGCCCCGTCCTTTGCTGGGTACGGACAAGGAGTGGGTGGCAATGTGCCCAGGGCTGCTGAGAACTGGCTGCTCCCTTGGCTCTCTCTGTTTAGCCCCTTTGATCAAAATGGAAAACTTCTGATTGCTGAATGGAAGCTGTGGGTGTTGAAAAATAAAAGGGCTTTGCTTAAAGTTCAGGTCTTCCTGAAGGCCTGTGGGGTTGAGGAGGCAGTGGAAAAAAATGTTTGTCTTCTGCTTACAGTTTTGCATACTGTACAATGTCCTGGGAGGGAAGGCTGACAAGGGGGAAAATCACCCTTTGTTCTTAGAACCCTCTCAACAGTTGAGATTTTCAGATTGTGGGCCAAATTTCACTTCTTTTGCTGGTGCACTCCTCTGCTCATGAAATTTCTATGGCTCCCTATTCCATACTCCTTCGTTCTTAACTACCCTGTGCTTTGCACCTGTAGAATTTGGTCCATCACCTAGGAATCGGTTCCCTGTGCTAACAGGAACCTTTCTAGTTCTACTTAAGCCACACGATATGCAAATGGAAGGATCCCATAGAGTTCTTTGTTGAGTGATTTTCAAATCCTTTTTGGAGTAAAACTGCACAGGAAATGTACAATGAAAAAATAAAAGCAGAACTTGCTGGTAGGAGCAGAGGAGGGCCAGGCAGAAAGGCTGATGCTAGCTGATTGCTTGCTGTATCAGACCCAGAGTCATTACAAGATAAATGAAACATGGAGCCTTTTGATTGCTTAGCTCAAATTACTCATTTCTCAAAGAAGGAAATGGAAACACTGAAATGAAGTGACTTGAAGGGTTGGGAACTCACCCATTGATCAAGCATGAGGAGCCAAGTGTGTTCTCCAAAACCTATGTATAAAAGCTGGGCACAGTGGAATGGGTTTACACAGCTGGTGAGACAAAAATAAATAGATCCCTGGAATTTGCTGACTAGTCCACGCAGCCTAACCAGTGAGTTTCAGGATACTGAGAGACCCTGTGTCCAAAAGCAAGAGCAGTGGTTCCTAAGGAATAACATTGGAAGCTGACCTGTAACCTCCATGGTGTACTTGCACAATACATGTGCACAACTGCACATGTACCTGTAACATTTACATGAACATTCACACCACACACACCCCTTTCTCAAATGGAGTGACTAGGTTCACATGGGGAGGGAGAGAGACAGGTTTTTTCCCCCATCTTCTTGCTCTCCAGTTGTCTGCTGACATTATGCTGGACCCATGCAGGTTTCGATGAATGTTTTCTTACCTTCTCTGGCTCTGTCTTTCTAGTCTCTGAACTCTGGCCATCTGGCTTCATCTCCTCGTGTAAAACTTGCCTATAGCTCAGCAGTCCACCAACATACTCTCTAGATACCCAAGTCCAGGCCATGTGACCTAATTTTTTAATTACCTACCTAACTCTACTTATTTACAAGTGTGTGAATGTGTATAAATTTTCCCTACCTTGTGAGATAACAGAGTCTCCAAGCCACTATGTACTTTCTCATTCTCTCTATCCTATCTGCATGATTTAGGGCTGGGTCTATAAAGAGTCAACTTTCAATCAATCATTGTCTTGACTTGTTGTTTATGGAACAAGAATGTTCTAGAGGATTGGGTATACAAGAGAATTGTGTGATGACATTTCTGTCTTTTGCTTTTCAACTGTTTCCTATGTCCCGCCTTCCATACGTATCCCTCAAGCTGTACTCCCGTTCTAGCATGCTCTAGTGAAATTCTCCACTGGTGTCCTGCTAGTGTAGCAGTAGCTGCTAAGGTACCAGTTGCTTCCCGCACCTGACCCTGTGCTAAACAAGCTAATCTCTCATCCTTTGATGAGTAAAATTGTTTTGAAAGAGTAGGAAGGACACAGCTGTGGCTTCCCACCTTTCATTGCTTCCTAGTAGCATGCAGTTTGGGAACTCCATCATACCTAGGGACACTTAAGGGGTGTTCTCTAGCTCAGCACCATTGGCATCAGCATCATTAAGGAAAGAGTGAAGTTTAAAAGCTTTGGAGATACCGAAGCAATTGCTTGAGTTGACATCGGGAAATACATGTTTAGGAAAGCACCTCAGTATCCTGGGAACGTTTGACAAACAGGGGGCTAATGAGTAAGAAAGAGACTCTAAGGTCAGTTGTGGGCAGGTATAATATAGTGGTATTCTATACTACTATATAGCTGTGAAAAGTGAAGAATAAAGTTAGTCTACAGAGTCATATAGTTGGGAAGTGCTGGTATGAGAACTGTTTTTCTGGTACCTTGGTGAGCCATCTGTCTAACCTCAGTTACAACTGTGGGATCTAAACCTACTTTTGCTCATGAAGATGGAGCTATATCTAGAACAAAATGGAGATGATTTTTTATCTATAAACTTTAAAAATATGTAGTATATAGGGGATGAATTCACCTAAGGTATGTTTAAAGCAACAAAGCCCAGAACTAAACTACTTTTGGAGGAGGACTTGAGAGCCTTCAGTCTTTTTGGGGGTAACTTCAAGAACTTGGCAATTTTCTAAGAGTCATTGTGAGTGAAACAGTGACAGGTTAGGAGCATGGTCAATGAAATATGGCCCATATTTGAATCTGGCAGTCACCTATTTTATTCAATAAAGTTTTATTGAAATAGTCATGGACATTGTTTATGTACAATGGTAGAGATAGTAGCTGTAGTAATGCAGTGGGACAGTGGTCTGTACCCTGTCAGTTGTATCTATAATAAATGCTGGTTGGCCATAGCCAGACTGGAAGTATAGGTGGGGAAACCAGGCAGAATGTAGAGGCAGGGAACAAGAATTCTAGAAAGATGGAAGTTTAAGTCTGCAGTCATCACCTAGACAAAGAGGAAGCCAGACACAGAGCAAGCAATATGTGACTGCCTTGCCAAAAAAGATACCAAGCCACATGACTAATACAGACAAGTATTATGGGCTAATATAAGTTATAAGAGTTAATAAGAAGCCTGAGTTACTACGTCAACCAGTTTATAATTAATGTAGACCTCTGTGTGTTTCATTGGGACTGGACAGCTGAGGGACCTGGTTGGACAGAAACCTCAGTCAACACAATAAGGACATCATAGTCTTTACAATCTACAATCTTTACTATTTAGCACCTTATAGAGTTTGCTGGCTACTGATTTAGAATGCTATAATATACTCAGAGCAAAACAGTCAAGAAGGCTTGGGGGAATAACGGAGACAGGGTTAAACTTCCTTCATAAATCCTTGTGAAAGTTTACCTTGTTAACCAATACTTTCAGATAATAAGATTCTTTTGAGGGTTCTGCTGTTGTGGAGAAGCTCTGTATATGTGTTGGTGGAATACAAAAGATGACTG